GCTACCACTACCCAAGTTATCGTACATGTAAATACTGGGCGCGTGACGTGGTGTGTGTGTGTGTGTGTGTATACTCGGTACATATCATAAAAAAATTCAGTTTAAATATGTGTATTATATGTAGTTTATGATATATATAATGGTGGTGTGATTTGTGTAATGATATACGTGTGTTATTGTTAATTATTGTTTGTTATATGATGTTACGTTGATTAGTTTTGTGTATAGCGTGTAAGGAAGGGGAGAGAGAGAGAGAGAGAGAGAGAGAGAGAGAGAGAGAGAGAGAGTTATTTTACAGTTCACAATAACATCTCACCAATATACCGCTACTATACCAGCCGCAGTGCTATATGTTAGACAGCTCATCAAGTCACAACGCCAAACTTCACCTATATTATATCACACAGTCGACAACTAAATATATTAGATGAAAATACCTTGATATATCATAACTAATATAACCCCTAACCTCTGCTATGCTTTTAACATAGGAATTTAATATAAGAAACAGAAAAATATAAGTTTGGGTGAAATATATTAATTATATTAACTAAAATTATATAACAATAAAAGTAAAATATATGTCGTTCAGGTGAAATATATTATATGCAAATAAATTATATATACAGTAAAACCTCCATAAAGCGGACTTTTTTCCATATAGTCCGTTAGATGGAGGTTTCACATATAACGGACCCTCGATAGAACGAACTTTCTTCTCTATACAGCTCGTTAAATGAAGGTTTCACGCCTAACGGACCCTCGATATAACGGACTTTCTTCTCTAAACAGTTCGTTAAACGAAGGTTTCACAACAAACAGACCCTCGATATAAAGGACTTTCCTCTTCATATAATCCGTTAGATCGAGGTTTTATTACGGCAAAACACATCATGGTTCTCCCTCAACAAAGGTCATTTATGTTGAGGGTCATGACCTTTGACCCTTACTGAAATCCTTATAAAGAAAGGAAAAGAAAAGAAAGAAAGAAAGAAAGAAAGAAAGACAAGCTTATTGAGAGAGAGGGGGAGAGACAGAGTAGAGACATAGAAGGGAAGAAAAGAGACAGACAGAGAAACAGAGAGACAGAAAGAAGGAGAAAACAAGATAAAGAGAGAGAGAGGTGTGACAAACGCCAAACCTTCCTGGTAGAGTTATAAGTGACACAAACTCTCTCTGGCTGATCCCATTGCACCTGTCATGAAGCTCCAACACGAACCTATAAACTCACTCGCATCTATACCAGCTTACGTCGCATTCGATCCCCTCTCCCCTATCCTCCTCCCCCTCAGAAGGGATTTAAGACACTTATACCGGTGATTATATCGTTTATAACTCCTACGGGGCATTTGTTTAGGCTTTGGATTGTACACTTATTGATTGGTGATTGTAATAAGTGATTGGAGATTGTTATGAGTGATTGGAGATTGTTATAAGGGTTTGGTGATTGATATACACTTCACCATCGCCATCATCAACATCATCAACATCATCAACGCTTCCATCATCATAAATAAGATTACCTACAAATCCAAACACATTTTCAACACATCAACCCCCTCCCCCCCGCACGCACGCACGCGCACACGCACACACACACTCGAGTCCCACCAACGACTCAATATTGACTTGTCAAGAATTTTACAACTTGGTCTGGTTATGCATGACTAGGACTGACTGCTGGGTGTTTACTGTGGTTACGAGAGAGAGAGAGAGAGAGAGATATTGGGTGTTTGTAGGTGAGAGAAAGTGAATTTGGTTGAGTTTGTGTGAGAGAGAGAGAGAGAGAGATAGAGCGAGAGAGATTTTCAATGTGTGACAGCAAGAAGGAAAGGAAGAAATAATTTGTGCAAGAGAGAGAGAGACAGAGAGAAAAGAGACAGAAAGACAGAAAGACATAATAGAAAAGCCCCACCAACTCCCAGACGAGTCGACCCCCCCCCAAAAGACAACCGAGCATCAATTAGTTACATTTACCGGACCATCAATACCTTTAGTGGTCCGTAATTCGCTCATAAGACGACCACCAACATATACCACAACCAATGGGATCTCAAAAAGCCATTGCGACCCTGAGAAAGTCATTGGCTGATGGATGGCTAACGGTTGAAAGGAAAAGAAAGGCATTGAAAGATATTGTTCCATTTATTGTCGAGTTATTGAATGAGTTGTGGTTAAAGTCTTGTAATTGTAGGGTTTTTTTTTTAGTGTTGTTGTTGCTATCGTCATCATCATCATCATCATCATCATCATCATCATCATCATCGTCATCATCATCATCATCATCATCATCATCATCGTCATCATCATCATCGTCAGTACAACCACATTATAACCACACCTGCAATAAACCCAATAACTCATGGTATGTTGCATAGCCTCACTAACCAAACCTACTCCACAAAATCATTTCACCTACAAAACCACCGCCTCCAATTTCGCCAGTCAATAGGGCGAGTATTTAGCCAAAAAACTGCAAAATCGCCAAAATCGCCATAACTCCGAGTTTATTCGCCCATAAGTTGTTTTCGATAAAAGGCCAATGAAATTTTATCATAATTTGGGGTATATTTTTGTGGTGAGTGTATGTGTGGTGAGTGTATGTGTGGTGAGTGTATGTGTGGTGAGTGTATGTGTGGTGAGTGTATGTGTGGTGAGTGTATGTTTGAGTGGTGAGTGTATGTTTGAGTGGTGAGTGTATGTTTGAGTGGTGAGTGTATGTGTGGTGAGTGTATGTGTGGTGAGTGTATGTGTGGTGAGTGTATGTGTGGTGAGTGTATGTGTGGTGAGTGTATGTGTGGTGAGTGTATGAGTGGTGAGTGTATGTTTGTGGTGAGTGTATGAGTGGTATGTGTGGTGAGTGTATGTGTGGTGAGTGTATGTGTGGTGAGTGTATGTTTGAGTGGTGAGTGTATGTTTGTGGTGAGTGTATGTGTGGTGAGTGTAGTGGTGAGTGTAGAGTGGTGAGTGTGTGTGAGTGGTGAGTGTATGTGGTGAGTGTATGTGTGGTGAGTGTATGTTTGAGTGGTGAGTGTATGTGTGATGAGTGTATGTTTAGTGGTGAGTGTATGTGGTGTGTATTGAGTGGTGAGTGTATGTTGGTGGTGGGTGGTGAGTGTATGTGTGGTGAGTGTATGTTGAGTGGTGAGTGTATGTGTGGTGAGTGTATGTTTGTGTGTGAGTGTATGTATGTATGTGGTGTATGTTTGTGTGTGTGTATGGTGGTGAGTGTATGTGTGGTGAGTGTATGTATGGTGAGTGTATGTTTGGTGGTGAGTGTATGTGTGGTGAGTGTATGTGTGGTGAGTGTATGTTTGAGTGGTGAGTGTATGTGTGGTGAGTGTATGTTTGAGTGGTGAGTGTATGTTTGAGTGGTGAGTGTATGTGTGGTGAGTGTATGTGTGGTGAGTGTATGTTTGAGTGGTAAGTGTATGTGTGGTGAGTGTATGTTTGAGTGGTGAGTGTATGTTTGAGTGGTGAGTGTATGTGTGGTGAGTGTATGTATGTGTGATGTATGTTTGAGTGGTGAGTGTATGTTGAGTGGTGAGTGTATGTATGGTGAGTGTATGTTTGAGTGGTGAGTGTATGTATGTGTAGTGAGTGTATGTATGTGTGGTGAGTGTATGTTTGTGTGGTGAGTGTATGTTGATGTGGTGAGTGTATGTTTGCATAGGTGTATGGAAGCTGTATACACGACAAGCCTCCAGAGTACAAACACGTGGCTGATTCCTGAAGGGGGGGAGGGGAGGGGGTGAGGGTGAATCCTAGGAGGGGGGTGGTGATGATAGTTATTGTTGTTGTTGTTGTTGTTGTTGGTGGTGGTGATGTTGTTGTTGTTGGTCTTATTTGTGTTGTTGTTATTATTGTTGATGTGGTGGTGGTTGTTTTCGTTATAGTTTGAGGTGTTTTGACTGCCAGGGTTATTAAGTACTCTTCAGGAGGTCATACTTCCTTGTGCTTTAAGTCTTAACTGTCTAGTACTCAAGGTCTTAAGTTTCCACAACAACAACAGATCCGAAGACTAACAACGCCTGAACAAAAGAATCAGAAAGACCCCCAACACACACCCTCCCCCACACACACACACACACCCTCCTCCCCCACACACACACACCCTCACCCCCTCCACATACACCCTCCTCCCCCCACACACATCTCCTCCTCCCCACACACACACACCTTCCTCCCCACACACACACCCTCCCCACACACCCTCCCACACACTCTCCTCCCCCACACACACACCATCCCTCCCACACACATCTCCCTCCTCTCCCTTCTCCCTCATGTTAACTGTCTCCCTTCAAGTCTAGCGGGAGGGAGTAATAAGGAGAAACAAATAGAGCCTAAAAGGGAGAGTCGTTTGGCCGAAAATGAGCTTGGTATCTTGTGTGTGTGGAGGAGGGTGAAGGAGAGGAAGGAGGAGGGAGGGTGAAGGAGGGAGGTGAGGCGAGGGAGGGAGGGAGGGAAGGGCGAGAGGAAACTATGAATAATGAATGTATACGTCTCTAAACCTCTTTCTTCTACACACACACACACACACACACACACACACACACACACACACACACACACACACACACACTTCTCTATATTGCCGCAAATTAATGTAAATTAATTCGTATATCAAAATATGTTCTGTATATTTTAAGATGTCTTTTACTATTATGAGATAGGCAGGTTGTACTTAGGGTAGGGTAGGGTAGGGTAGGGTAGGGTAGGGTAGGGTAGGGTAGGGTAGGGTAGGGTAGGGTAGGGTAGGGTAGGGTAGGGTAGGGTAGGGTAGGGTTGGGTTGGTTTTGTGTAACCAATTATGTATTAAGTGGATGTTTATGATCGTTTATGGTCAGTCAGATGTTTGTAAAAAACGAAAAAAAACATAGAAATTATTGGTAATTGGTGATTATCCTTAGTATATATAGACAGACAGACTAACAGGTCTATGACAGAGATAGAGCAAAAACAAAAGTTCATAAAAATGATGGGACAGACCCGAGCGGTCAGTAGGTTATGACGCAGGGTCCTCGGGTGGACATATAAATAATGATGATTATCAATAAACACAGCACCAGCGACCCTGCAATCACGGCCCAGTCGACCTGCGTCTTCTTTACTGGCAGGGGTTTGGTATAGTAGTCATGAGCGCAGGTCTGGAGGGATATGTACTCTGGGGCGGTGTAGTAGTAGTTGCCGTCATGGTTGACGTGACGGCAGCGTTCGAGGATTTTGCTGTCGATTGGCAAGGGACACTTGTCTAAATGATTTTCCAGGGGATTATTGGGACTGTTCACCGGAAAAATTGGGAGTGACACCGCGTGAGTAGGGACTCTGATCTTTTTGGCCCCCTGGGGACTGGGGGTTGAAGAGGTCTCTGGCCCTTGAGGACTGGGAGCTGAAGAAGTCCCCGTCTCCTTAGGACTGGTGGCGGAAGAGGTCCTCGACCACTCAGTACTGGGTTCAGGAGAGGTCTCCGACCACTGAGGACTGGAGGCTGAAGAGGTCCCCGACCACTGAGGACTGGAGGCTGAAAACGTCACAATCTCCTGGTGACTGGAGGCTGAAGAGGTACCCGTCTCCAGAGGACTGAGGGGTAAAGAAGACCCCGACCCCTGAAAAATGGGGGCTGCAAAGGTTTCCGACCCCTGAGGACTGAGGGCTGAAGAGATCCCCAACCCCTGAGGACTGGGAGTTGAAGAGGTCTCCGCCCCTTGAGGAATGGGGGATGAAGGGGTCTCCCACCCTTGAGGACTGGGGACTGAAGAGATCCCCGACTCCTGAGGATTGGGGGCTGAAGAGGTCTCCCACCCTTGAGGACTGGGGACTAAAGTGGGTCCCGACCCCTGAGGACTGGGGACTAAAGTGGGTCCCGGCCCCTGAGGACTGGAGGCTTTGATCTTTTCTGACCCCTGAGGACTGGGGACTGAAGAGGTACCCGCCCTCCGTGTACTGTGGACAGAGGAGATCCCCGCCGCCGGAGGACTTATGGAAGGCAAGGGCCTTGACCGCAGAGAACTGAGGTCAGAAGTCCTTCTCTCGACCAGTCTAGCAGGGGCGGTGCGGACCGTCTCTGGTGTGTGGCGAATAGGATGGCCGGGAGTGTTGTCAGTTTTACCCGGGTTTTTGGTCGAATAAGTTCCTCCCATAATTATAAAATAAAACAAAAATTAATATCCACTGATAAAAATAAATCCACGAAGAAGAAAAATAAACAAATGGAAACAACGCTCACCATACTGAGATGTGACGCTCACCATACTGAGATGTGACGCTCACCATACTGAGATGTGACGCTCACCATACTGAGATGTGACGCTCACCATACTGAGATGTGACGCTCACCATACTGAGATGTGACGCTCACCATACTGAGATGTGACGCTCATCATTATGGTTCAGGACCGAAGGTTAGGTTAGGTTCGGTTAGGTTAGGTTGGTACTTCTCAGGTACATCTGCACATCAGAGACAGACACAGATCTTATAGGTAATGTACGAGTATAAGTGGGCGGTGTGCGTCTGTCAAGCATGAAGACCCAACCATAACTCCGGTTACCCTCTGGCACGACACCAAATACTGCCTAACCTTGTACAGGGTGTCTCTCTCTCTCTCTCTCTCTCTCTCTCTCTCTCTCTCTCTCTCTCTCTCTCTCTCTCTACATGGGGGCCGAATGTGCCTCCCCAAAATCCTAATCTAGGGTTGTGATGTAAACAAGAAAATAGTACTGTATTATGATTAGTTAATCCCAGTTATATAACCCGTATGAACTGAGAGGAAACGGAAGAGTATGTTAATGGGAATAATATTATACTAAGTGTACTAAAGGGTAAACACGACGATAAGAAGAGAGGAGGAGTTATTAAGTTAGATAAGAGAGATAGATAGAGAGAGAGAGAGAGATAAAGAGAGTGAGAGAGACATAGATGGTGCAAGCAGTCATACAGTACGAATGGTGATTTTTGACTTAAACATCAGGTTACATACAGACGCACCGGCATAAAGGCTTCACACACACAAGGTAATAACTACACCTACAGTACACACACCAGACGGCGCCCTGCAACTAACTTTACAGGTCCCCAGATTTGATTTTCCCTGGAGAATGTCTGGTCAGATCTGGTCGAACGCTGCCCAGCCACACCGAAGGAAGGAGCAGGCCATGTAACTCGTGTCTCAGGTCACAGGGACACCCACAACAACAGCAGAAGGCAGGAGGGGAGGAAGGACTTGGCGAGACTTTTGAGTGTAGTTCGAGGTGTTGCAGACCACCCGCCGTGTCCCACCTCACACCACCAAGACATCGGCTACCTCCGCCATCCTGACGCCCTCCCCTACCTCCAGCACCTCCCCCACCCAGCACCTCCCCACCCCAGCCCTCCCCCCACCTCCAGCCGAACACCACTCGCGTCCAAAGATGTTTTATAGAGATGAAATGACACCTTGAAACTTTGTGTCTCTATAAACAACTTCATTTATAATATTTTAAGAGATTAATTTGTATGTTAAATATTATTATGTGATAGTTAAGACATGTCCTTGTCCATAATATATTTCATACAATGTAAATATGTTAAAATAAAGGAGAGAGAGAGAGAGAGAGAGAGAGAGAGAGAGAGAGAGAGAGTTAACACACCACCACAAAGTTTTCAACCAATACCCATCACTACACTGTGTGATATTCAACTACATTGTTTGGCTGCGAGGGTAGAGGGGAGAGGGGAGAGAACAAGGGGAGAAAAGGAGAAGGGGAGGGGGAAATTGGTTAGGGGAGGAGAAGGGAGAGGGGAGGAGAAGATAAGGAGAGAATTGGACAGGGGAGGGGAGAGGAGAAGAGGTATAGGTGAAGCAAGAAGAGAATTGGGGAGAAGAGGGGAGAAGAGGAGAAGTCAAGGGGAGAATAAAAGAGGAGAAGTGGACAAGGGAGGGGAAAAGAAGACAGGGAGAGAATTAGAGAGGGAGGGGAGAGGAACGGAGATGCAAGAGAGGGGAACTGGAAACTGCCGGTCAACTATTAAGTAAAAAATGAGGAGAATGGAAGTCTCTTCACTGTGTTGTATGTTGGTATTATCTGAGGAGAGGAGGAGGAGGAGAAAGAGGATGGTGAACGAGAGGGAGAAGGAAAAGGTGGGTGAAGGAAGGAGTGGAAAAAAAGGAAGAGGGGGAGGAAGAGAAGGGGAGGAGGTGGGGGAAAACGAAGGGGAGGAAAGGAATGGGAGGAGAAGGAAGAAGAGGAAGATGGAAAATAGGAGGTAGGGCAAAGAGAGAAAGAGACAGGAGCAAGAGTCGAATAAAACAAATCAAATTCAATGTTACTTCAAATGTCTTAGTGTGTAATGCGCGTTGTCTATTACTAATACTATTACTATTACTATTACTACTACTATTATTACCACTATTACAAAACCGTAATTTCAATGACTTAATACCAAATTTTTATCTCTCTCTCTCTCTCTCTCTCTCTCTCTCTCCCATTTCTAGACAGGCCATCTCTAGGTCGTGGCCAAAGCTTTCCGTTTACATACGAATATCTTCATTGTCCACCTCCTCCCGACACACACACACACACACACACACACACACACACACACACGTTTCCCGTTTACTTTTGGCAGACAGACTAATAGGCAGAGAGAAAGGTAGAGAGACAGAAGGATACTGATAAAAGAATGAAAGAGAGAGAGAGAGAGAGAGAGAGAGAGAGACTAAAACTAAAACAAATCTAGGTTTAACAGACATCTAATTTGCATACGAAATTGGATCTTATTAATTTTCATCCACGGAGGAAAAGAGACCCATTTTAATAGGTATAGGATAAACCACTACACATATGTCAAATTATCCTGATTAGGCTAAGGCCACGTAGAAATTGGTTCGGGATGGCTACCCAATTTTGACCTAATCGTATGCAAATTTGTTCCTATTACCAAGGTCATTAATTTTTTGTCACGAGTAAAGGAATGTTATGTAAATTCAGTTTCTTCATAACCATATTTCTCAGTTCCTTCATAACCCTATTAGCTATATGAGACTCTCCACAAACCAATTTCACATAAGACCAAACTCTCCACAAACCAATTTCATACAAGATAGGTCGTGAATAAAACCAATACAAACCAATTTTAACCCGATACTCGAAGATAAATAGACCTATGTGTGTGTGTGTGTGTGTGTGTGTGTGTGTGTAATTTTCCTCGAGTTATTTTATTTGAACACATTAATCAGAAAATAGTTAACTTTTATAAAAATGAGGCAACTAACTCTCTCTCTCTCTCTCTCTCTCTCTCTCTCTAACAAAACAAGATCCACCATTATTTTCTATATCCTTTACCCATAAGAGCATTAAAACAGTCAACAATCTGAGGTTTAATCTGAGGGTTTAACTCCCCCCTTTCCACCCCAGAAAAACGCCCTCGTGTGTGTTTCTGAGTCCGTCTCGTGACCGCAGCTCCTATCATTAGTCTAGCCACAATCGATTACGTGAGAGCGGTATGTGTGTTATGTCGTGACTGGCTTCCTTATTCTGGGAGTGTGGGAGAGGGGAGAGGGGCGGGGTGAGGAGGAGAGAGGAAAGGTGGGAAGAGAGGAATTTAGGAAGGAGGGAGGGGGTGAGGATAGGGGATGGAGAATGAAGAGAAGGGGGGAGGTTAAGGAAGGTGAGAGGAGAGAAAGGGGTGGAAATGTGAGGAGAGAGTAAAGGAGGTGGGGGGAGGAGAGAGAGGAGGAAGAGGAGAAGTGTGTGTGTGTGTGTGTGTGTGTGTGTGTGTGTGAGGTGAAGTTGCAACCATGTAGATGACCAAATTAACACAGGCCCTTGTGAGAAGATGTCAACCTGAACACCCGGGCAGGCTGACAGACATACAAACAAACAGACAGACACACACACACACACACACACATCAAACACACAGACAGAGTATACATACAGACCCCTTATGACAAAGAGACATACAGACAGACAGGGGTGAATAATAAGGACCCTCGCCAGGTGAGGTGGTGCGGGGATCAATAGCCTTGACACCTGGGCAACAAGAGGCAGCATCCACTATATTGAGTTATGGGGTATTGTTGTGAGCCGGGACCTCTCTCTCTCTCTCTCTCTCTCTCTCTCTCTCTCTCTCTCTCTCTCTCTCTCTCTCTCTTCTTGATAAAATTGAGTACAGTACTTAATTTTAAACTGTCAATTACATTTTGCAGACGAACCAATAGAAAAAATAATAAAACTAAATAGACAATAAAAATAAATATATTGGTTTAAATTAATAACTTATTTCTTATAAACCAACAACAAATTCTACACAATCTAATGCATAAAATTACTGTCAGTGAAAAGATGATTTACTGTTGTGTGTTTAGTTAATTTGCTGGATAGAAATACCAGCTTAATGGAATAAATCTTCTTTGGTGGATACTAGCTAAGAAACGTTCATCATACGGAAAATACGAACTTTTTTTTCGTAACTATCACCTCCTTACTTTCCTATCACTCATATACATTAAATGATGAGACATAATTTATATTTTCTCTCAGTATTATCAGAAGGTTTAGTCATCTTGGGTGATTTGCACGAAAAAATGCTTATTATTCATGATTTTTTTAGTCAACATCACTAACTGGATGGGATCGAAGACTGTTTACAAATGACTTTCTCCCCTTAGCAACCGTTAGCGTCCCAAGCAACTGGGGTGATACAGAGGGCGCTTGGCTCATCCGCTTATAGGTCATTACCGCGTAATTACTAACGGACGAGGGTGTGTGTGTGTGTGTGTGTGTGTGTGTGTGTGTGTGTGTTTGTGCGTGAGAATAAGAGAAACAACAATAAATAAAACTAAGTTATAGTAACAACAATGACAACTTCACAGCGCAAAAATTTCCACCACCATCCAAACCAATCACCTAATCACTCGAATACATTACTAATCATTTTACTCCGGTTAATCATCATCCAATCAGTCTCCAGTCACTTACCAATTCATTATACGAGTTGATGACGTAACTTGATATTCTCATTTACTTTCATAATCTGTTGAGGGAAATGGTGTTTTGGTTACAAGAGGAGAAGTGGTGTTTGTCTTGTGCGTTCGGAAGTGTTTTTTTTATGGGTTTGAAGGAAGGTGTGTGTGTGTGTGTGTGTGTGTGTGTGTGTGGT